TACCTACTTCAACGAAGCCACACCTGCTAATCTTTCCCAAAGAGCTACACTAAATGGGAACCAAGTTAAACATAAACCTATGGGAGCCATTCTCATTCAAACCATCACAGTCACTATCGTAACCTTTGTGCCAGTATTGAACCAGAGCATATTTTGCCAGTTATCGTAGCTCTCAGTCTTTACACTGTTTGGTAGGACTCTTGATGAATTTTCTCTCCTGCTGATATGCATAGAACATCCAGCACTATGAAACCTAGGTATGAGGGAACGAAGCTTCAGCACTGATACTAGCTTGATTTCTCTTTTTCAAGTATGTGGTGTCTCAGCAAGACAGTCTTACGATCAAGCTCTGGAGCAATGACAATAGCCTGCAACGTTTGGGTTGTCTATGAGAGTCTCAAGACATAGGCTTTTTGTTGATAGCCCAGGGTGTCTGTGGGAGATATTGTCTCCACACTATATGTATATGTTTTAGAAATTTTCCAAAATAGCGTATTTACATGTGGCTTTTTTCCCCAAATTTTTAAGTTTAGTTATTCCTTGCTCTAACCTGCCCTCCCATCCCCCACCCCATTAGCCCTTCCTGTTCTCTTATTCCCTTTTCTCCTTCATACAATCTGTGTTCTGTCCCCACTCCCATGAAATTCAATCCCATGGGCCTCACCAATTTCCTGATTTCTCTATGTACTCCAATTTAAACACACATATCTAAAGATTCAAAGCTAGGATCCATGTTTGAGAGAGAACATGAGGTTTTAGTCTTTCCAGATCTGGGCTACTTCACTCCAAATAGCTATTTGTAATTCCATTTATTATAAATTTTTCTTTGCAGCTGAGTAATATTGTGTATACATACCAAATTTTTGTTATTCATTCATCAGCTGATGTACACCTAGACTGTTTCCATTTCCTGGTTATTTTGAATATAGCAGCAATAAGCATGAATGAGCAAGTATCTCTGTAGTAGGACTCAGAGACCCTTAGAAATATACACATGTGGGTGGGTCACATGGACACTATTTCTGGATTTTTGAGAAAGCCCTACACTGATTTCCACAGGGGCTGCACCAGTTCACATTCAAATGAGTAGTAAACAAATGGGAACTATATATATATATAGATATAGATATAGATAGATATAGATATAGATATATATAGATATATAGATATATAGATATAGATATAGATATACATATATATAGATATATAGATATATAGATATATAGATATATCCCACCCAGCAGTTCATAATAATCCTAAGAAATGTTGGTGGAACTGAATTTTAAAAACACAGCAAAGGCAATAATTTCTGAAAATACTGATGGAAATTATTTGCCTGTTGCTGGACTGTTCTCAAAGCTGTTATTGAATTATGCCGTGAAAACCTCAGTCACTACTGACTATAAAGATTAGACAAGCTGTTATCTCTTAAGCTTTTCTGTCCACCTGCACTCTATGAAACCTCAGTGCTGCCTGGGCTGAATGAAATTACCCATAAACCCTGTGTAAGAGCCTGTGAGGCTGGTGGCATTCTACTTATAAACAAAAACAGGCTGATAGCCAGATTTGATCTATGTTTATCATTTTAAACTCCTACTCTAGTCTATTATTTTTATTTTGTTATAAAATGTTTAAATAAACCAAAACAAACAAAAAACAATAAAAATCTCTTATGCTATCATTGAGCATTAATGGTTGCTAACATTTTACTGTATCTATTTCATTTATTTTAATTGATGAGCAACCAGAAGAAAATAACATCATCACAAGAATTCATTTCATAATTAAGTATATGTAAATATATATATACATACATACATATGTGTGTGTGCATATATAAATAAATAATGCGACCTACCCTAGGAAACATAATAATTTTCTAATAATCCTGTTTAAACTTTCCTAAACATCCCCATTTCATACTTTCAAAGTTCCTTTTTTGAACCAGTAATTTATTAAACATAAAATTTCACTTTGCTTTTAATATATGAACAAAATCTTTTTTCATCTAATGCAGACACCAATCTCTTGGACATTTTAATGTATGACACTACTCATTAAGGCATCACCTCATTTTGAGAAATATAAAACATATGTCACTGGAAAATTATTACAGATGTAAAACAAATTTTATGAATTGGCCTCAAGTTCATTCTGTAGCTGAAAATGACACAGAATGTCTATTCTCCTTTTCTACCTCCTAGCTCAGGATTACAGACCTGCACCACTGATGGGGTTTATGCAGTGCTGTAGTTGAAACCGCCTCATCTGTCCTATATAATATAACGTGTAGGGCTGGGGAAGATAATTTTGACACATATTAAAGCTAGAGGTTCACATACATCAAAATAGCATATTCTCAAAGGGCTTTCTGAAATGCGAGTGTCAGCTCTGGGCACTCCGAAAAAGAGGTCAGATAGGCGGTAAATTCCATAGATTAGGCCAACAGAATTCTAGCTCAGCATAACCTATTATCCTTAAAGATTTCTTTGTGTTCCAAGCAAGTGTTACACTATCTCGAGTACTGAGCAAAGGCAGAAATGCTGTCCCTTTGAGGTGACATTCCAGGGTTTACCATGTATTACCAAGAAAAGGGGAAGTTCCATTGACCAATTGGGTCAGCTCACTCGGGAAACTCCAACTCAAAATTACCCTCCCCTGGCAAATTTCATAAAAATTTCTATGAAATGAGAATCGATATACATAGTAACCAAGACTGAGGGGAGACCTGGGGTATGTGGAGATGGACAGATGCAAACTGAGTAGCAGTTATACCAAGCTAAGGAAGAGGCTGCAGAGTAAAGACCGCTTGAAAGACTTGAGAACGTGTAAGGAGAGTGAGAAGACCTTACACGGTTTATCTCAAGAGAGCTTCACCCCTTAGCATCAGGACCTGAGAATGGTACAGAGTCAAGAACAGGGTCTGGGCCCATGACTGATGGAATTCCTTTTTAAGAAAGAAAACAAAGGGTAGGCAGGCACAATGACACACAGCTGCAACCCCAACTCTAGGTAGGCACTGGCAAGAAGGTGGTAAGTCCAAGGCCAGCTTGGGCTGTGTAAAGAAACTTCACCTTAACAAAATCAAGTGCCAGTTGAAAACTGGAACAAAAGTAGCAAGTGCATACAAATAGATACATGCGCCACATTCTACATAAGTAAAGGCATTCTTCAGTTGTGTTGCAGAAACTCAGACAGCACTGAAAGATGAAAAGACAAGGAAAGAGGCAAAGGAAGAGCAATGGAAACTTGTAAGCATCCTCTCCACTTTGCTTGATGTGGCTGATCCTCCAGTAGAGACTGTCACTGCTCCACGAGATTAGGGCTCAGCCCTAACTCCTCCCCAGAAAGATGCTAGATAAGTTGCTTGTCCCCCACACCATCTGGTTGGTTGGGATTGCTGGATCAGGGCCTTGAGTTAGGGTGGAGCCAGGGATGGGCTCAGGGAAAGATAATTCAATGAGTGAAGAAGGGCCATGCGCACCCTGGCAGCAAGCCCAGAATTCCAGATGAGTAGAATATTCCCTTGTCATGCTAGCCTACAAAAGTTGGTCCTCCTGTCTTTGATGCCTAGAGAGTGCTGTCATTCCTGATCACATGATTTACTAATGCATTGTTCAAACTGAGTCGTAGGTGGACCCTCACATCCTCGTTTACTAATGAAGAATTCAGCCTGCTCCACTCGTTACTTTGTTTAGTCACACCAACCAATCCCTACCAACCATTTTTACTCAGGGCAAGCACAGGAGGCCCTTTTCCACCCCTCTGTGTTCGCCAATGAGTCATGTGACATTTCAAACCACTGTCAGGTAAGTGTTGCCACACACCAGTAGCAAAATGACAACACTGTAGAGACTGGTCCCCAGAGAGATCTTCCTTTTCTGGGACAAGGTTAGCATTGTCTGACAATAATCTCCATGTTATCACACAGGCCTTGTTTCAGAATGCCATAACAAACCCTGAGGACGTCCAGCTCCAATCGGGCCCCTGAGAGGGTATTTAAGGGAAGATTTCCCGAGAGCCTTTGCCTCTTGCTGTGTATGGGTCAACGCTCTTGCTCATCTCAAGCTCTTGCAGCGCTGCATGTGTGGGCAGCCTTTCCCTGTGTCCTAATTGGCTCCGTGTGCAGTCTTGGCCCTGTGCTTGGGAATCGACACTGACTTTTAACCACCTCACCTGAAGTTCATTTTCTGTATTCTCATTAGTATTTCAGCACTGGGCTTCAACAGGATTTTAGCTGGAGGCTGTGGTTGTCTCCTCCCAATCTACCTTGGCAAAATTTTCAAGTTCGTTTATGCATTTTAAAAGGACAGGCCTTTACAGAGGGGAGAATTAAAGAGTGAGAAGAGAATACCTATAGAGAGAAAATGAGGACCTTCCTGGACTTAGACAGGTCAGGTAAAGGAGAACAGGAATTACAAGACGCAAATAATCGTAAGGGTTATGTCTTGTTTGTTCAAAAATGCTTTTTAAAAATCCTCACTCATCATTAGTAATTTTTAATCTTAACAACTTTGGAACTAGCTGCATCTTTCCTAAGATCTACTAAAATGGAAAGCTTATAATTTTCTACTGTGACCTGAGGGTTTGGCTCTGAACATAAGCTATGCGAGTCTATGAATGACACCGACACTCCAAATATACTTCTATTAATCTGATGAGGACCTGAGAACTTCTGAACAGCTGAGAAGCCTTTCAGCACAAGCAGGAGCCCCCATGCTTTGGCCATTTTGACTGTCTGTCACCAAAAGCCTTCAGTAGAGGAGAGGCAAGTCCCACCCCCATAGAGAGCAGCTTTTTCAGCTGGCAGAAGGGTGTGTCCCTTAGCTTTTACCTGGGAGCAATGATGATCTTGTCAAGCATTTCACTGAGACCAGCCCAAGTTTTTAGGGTGGGGATCCAGACTGGTTATACGTACCTTCCCTCCTTCTCCGAGTGGAAGGCAGAAACACCTCAAAGCCTGCATGTAAGAACATCTACTGGGAAATTATTTTAATCAGACACCAGCAGAGTGGGAGAAAGAACAAGAGCAGAGAAGAGCAAACAGACTCCCTTGGTCGTGGATGTAGCAGAAGCCAGCTGCAGCGATGGACTGGCACTCCCTCAGGAGAGCTGCCCTGCTGCTCACGTTCCTGGTAAGTGGATTCTGCTGGAAGCATCCTTTACCCCTAGCTCAGCACAGGCAAGCGAGGATTTTTCAGAGAATGTTATTTCCAGGCACTTCTATGCTAAACCATTAAAAGTTTATGTTAATGACAAGGTGGTTTTTATGAACTATGATTTTAAGTGGTGTTTCTCTCTTTAATTGAAGACTCTAGATCATATTAATGTCCCAATGTCCAGTCACTAAACCATATCTGAAATCCCAGTCAATGGTCGGTCACTCTGAGAAAATATTGAATTTAACATAGGCTTAAAGTTACTGTGTTTGCTTGTTCAACTTCTCATTGGCAGGGATGGAGCTTTTCAACTGGGTGTTCCAGGTGTGTCTGGGTTATCAACTGAAACATTTCCCCTTCTCTGAGTGTTTTGATTGACAGACTGACAGTGTGTTTTAAAGCCAGGAAAGGAATTATAGGCATGAGGATTACAGCTGTCTGTGACCAATCTCACAGTCCGAGCAATCTCTTCCCTCCCAGATGTTGTCAGAATCCATCTTACTAACCCCTGTGCTGTTTAGGGTTTGAATGAAAATTCCATTGCTAATTTCAAAAACTGCGAGTACAAGAGTTTTATATAAATGATGTAGCAGGTGGAGGGATGAGCTTAACTAAGGGGTAAGTTAATTGTTGCTGTCCTTGTCCTCCAGTAAGGATGTGGCACAGAAGTTGCAATGATGTATTGCTGCCCCCCACAAGTCACCCACTTTCTCTTACAGTTCAAAAATGTGCCACACCAATATTAACCTCATGTTCAGTAAAAAGTTTTAAAGTCATAGTCTCTCTCCCAAGTAGGATAAATGTCATCTCAAAGGGCAAGGGCCAGTTAAATCCCTCCGCAGCTTTTGGCAGAATGTGGCTCGTTGTTTTTACTTGCTTGCTTTTTGAACTGGAATGCTGGATTCATAACACAACAAGCTAGAATTTTGATTTACTATATGCTACCTAGTTTGAATTCCGTTCGTTTGTTACGAGGGGCTGTGGGGCTGGCAATGTAGCTGAATGATGGGATACTTGCCTAGCATGCACCCGGCCTTGGGTTCAATTCTTAGACGTGCATGACAAAAGGACAAGGGGTGGTGATAGTAACATTTAGTTACAAGCGACTCTCAGTAGCTTCGGTTCTAAGCCACCCTTCATGTGTGACTGCTATTCCATATGCTTTCTTTAGGCTCAGTTGATGTCACAACCTGGGCTATGGAAAAAATCAATGATTATTATACAGCGTGTCATTTAACCACAGGAATGCCTGTGTATTGCTAAATAATCAAATGCTTTAATTTTTAATTTCATATAAATTTGACTCCTTAAAGGCTTCTTGCAGCATTTCCACTCGTTGATGCTGTTTTAGTGCCTATGTGCTAACTTTCATTGGATTTATGAATAACTCTTTGTTTCTTGGTTTATACAATTATTTCTAATTAACTGCGTTTTTTCTCCAAATAGCTATTTCTTGATTAATGATTTGTCAATAACATATATCATCTAATCAAGGTTCTCATGGAACTGTCTGCCTAGGGGAAGAGGTTTCTGGAAATGTATAGTTTATTCTCTAAGCTTAGAGGAGAGAGAGAGAGAGACTGAGAGAGAGACAGAGAGAGAGAGACAGAGAGAGAGAGAGAGAGAGAGACAGAGACAGAGACAGAGAGAGAAAGACAGAGACAGAGAGACAGAGAGAGAGAATTGAGATTTGGTTTGGAGAAGAGGAAGAGTCTGTGACCATATTTACCATGGGATATAAGACATGATTCTCATATGGCTTACTTTTATTTCTGTTTTTACGTGTGTGTGTGTGTGTGTGTGTGTGTGTGTGTGTGTTTGTCTGTCTGTCTGTGTGTATGTCTGTGTCTGTGTCTGTATGACTGTATATGTATATGTGTGTATGGGTCTGTGTGACTGTATATGTGTGTGTGGAGGGGTGTCTGAGTGAGTGTATGTGTGTGTGTATGTATGCATGTGGGGGTGGGTGGGTCTGAGTGAGTGTATGCCACAGGTGTGTGGGTGTCCTGGAGCAGGAGTTACAGGTGCTGACGAATCAAGGAGTGTGGGTGCTGAGAACTGAGTTCAGTCCTCTGTGAGAGCCATACATGTGCTTCACCACGAGCCTTCTCCCCAGGCCCTCTTCAGAAACTTTCACTGTAACAACTTAATATAGTATATTTCCAGGTTAATTCAATCTTCTTTGGTAAAATGTTTTACCTTTGAAGGCCTTGAGGATCCTATTTTTCACTGCTAATTTTAGTAGATAATTTTGCAATCCCAGTCTTCCATCCCTAGCCTCACCGAGTGTATTTGTCTTTATCAAAGTATAAGAGGGAAAAACAATTTGAAGTCTCTACTCTTCGCTGTTAAAAGTCAATAAATAAAAATCCATGTTAGGAATATATTTGAAAAACTGCCAATATATTTTAGATGTGACAGCTGATAATATTTTTATATAAGGCTGTTTAGAGAGCTGGACCACTATGTGTTGGTGGTATATTACATGACCTGCTCGGCATACATGAAAGTGCGTGCTTTAAGCCTTCCCTAAACAAGTAAGTTAGGTCAGAGAAACTACAGCAGAGAAACAGCTCTGAAAGGGACCAAGGTTGCTGCATGAGCTGTCTACAGTCAGACATCCACCTGGATAGATGGCAGCTCATATCTGTTACAGCACTACAAGCTGAAGGCATGAACTGACTCTTCCTCCTCTTCATCTTCCTCCTCTTCCTCATCCCCTTCTTCCTCTTCTTCATCCTCATTCTTCCTTTTCTTATCTATCATCTATCTCTCATCTCTTATATGTCTATCATTTATCTTCTATCTATCTATCATCTATCTATCTATCATCTATCATCTATCATCTATCATCTATCATCTATCTATCTATCATCTATCATCTATCTATCTATCCATCTATCTATCCATCTATCTATCTATCTATCTATCTATCTATCTATCTATCATCTATCTATCTATCTTTCTATCTATCTCAATGCACAGAAGGAATATTGTAATTTTTTCCTGCCAGAGAACAATGCTACCTACACAACACATAAAGAACATCTTTGCTGATGGTTGCGCCAATTACAAAGGGGATACCTCAACCTCTATGAGAAAAAAAGACTGTAGGACTTGAGAATTCTAGTGATTGCTGAAAAATTCACCTGCAAAGTTGCCAGGTCTGATTAATCTGCTAAACATGAGTACAAATCTGAAGACATTTTTTCTATAGAGGCAACTTCAGCAGGTTAAGCTAAAAGAATATGAGGTGGGGCGGGGGACTCCTTCTTTTATCTGTTAACAAAAATAATGCTAGTCATAGTTTTGGTTTTTGTTTGATTTCAAAGTTTTGATTCAGGATCTTCCTCTGAAGCTCAGCCTAGCCTGTACTCATTAGGTAGCCCATGCTGGTCTTAAACATGCCCTCCTGTCTCAGCCTCCTCGAGGCCTTGGTCATAGACATGCACCACTAGAGTAGGCTCTAGTCTACACTTTTTTATGAGATTTTTATGAGACTACTATTTCATTCAATTAAAAACAAAATTTCTAAATGCCCAATAAACTAACTCCACAATGTGAACTTGATTGAACTTTTTAAGAATACAAGCAGGAGTTAAAATGGTACTCATTTATGACATAGTTTATTAAGTTGTTTGAACCAGATATTGAAAGTTCCCTTATTTATGTTAACTGACACCAAAAGAAAGAAAAGTACTAAACAGCTGCTATAGACCAAACAGGCCGATCCAGCAGGGAACCTGATGCTGGTCTGCACACACTTTGCAGAGGGTATCATTTCAGTCCCTCATGTTAGATAGAATGGAATTGGTGTTTCTAGTCTCCTCTGGTTACTAAAACAAACTATACTTACACAGGATCGTCTCCACAAATGTGGTGTTTGCAAAAGCTTTCTTAATTTACTGACAATTTAAGAGTAGTGTCTTCCTTCCACTTTACATGAATGGAGAGAACAAATCCATCACCTTGTAACTGGGGCTGTCCCAGTGTGAAGGAAAGTATTTCAGTGGCAAGAAAAGCTAAAGCATGAATGTGGTAGGGATGAATCAAGATGCACCTGACACCCTGGTCCCTATGCACATCGCTTGCTTTCTGATTCTGCATTCAACTAGGACTCTGTTGCTGAAAATCCTGGGCACCTTAACAGATATTGCCTAATGCACAGGCAGGAGGCTTGTTCTGCTAGGAATTCTGGGTAAATTTCTTCTGCTCCTTCAGCTGAGGTAAAACACCCTCCAGGGTGCCGGGTCATGCTACTTGTACTAGCTACGCTTGGCATGCAAACTCTTGTAATGGTCTTAGATAGGTCCAACTTTCTCATGCCAATGGCTGGTGTGATCCATGCTCTTAATTGCTCTGTGAGCATGCATACAGTCTTTTATACTTGTCTGATTAGAATCATATTCCTACAAATTAACAGCTGATTGCTGCTTTTGAAACTCTGTAACTCTAAGCTCTTTGAAGGCAAGCCCCATGTCTAATGAACCTTTGTATCACTCACAGTTCTCAGCCAATACAAGACTGCTCCACGATGTCTCATTGCCCAGAACAGTAACACCAAAAGGGAAATTCGGCATAGCTCAAGTTTCTTTTCCCACACACTCCAAAAAATATATGCTATCATGGAAGTCAGTGTGGAAATAATCATGTTGCCTTATCCCAACATTTTGTGATATAGTGTCGCATCACCTGAAATTTCAACCAAAGCTTAGCAGAATGCTCAGAGTCTCAAGCTTCCCAAGGCTGTAACTCTTTAATACAGCTCCTTTATATTGTGATGATCCACAACTATAAAATCATTTCATGTTATGTCATATCTATAATTTTCTACTATTACAAATCAAAATCTTTTATGCAGGGTATCTGATATGTGACCCCTGTGAAAGTGTTGTTCGACCCCCAGAAGGGTCATGACCTCTGGTTGAGAAGGTTAAAGCCGCCATGTTGTCTCAGCCCCTTGTAGTACATGTTTGTCAAAGAAATGAACAAACCATGAATAAATAGGAGAAACTAACACACTGAAGTACGACCAACCCCAACATCACAGCCTTTATCAGACAAATCTAAACGAAATATAAAAGAGGGGTAAATGGTTTTGCTGGGTTTTGGGGGGGTGTTTTTTTTATAAAGAAACATTCCATTTTACCCATTCTTTCTAGCTTATGCTTGTGAAGTACCTAATCGTTAACAAAGACGTTTTATTCAACAAATTGCCACTTCCTCACTATTATTAATATAGGACATTTTCCTCATAAAAATTACCCTCAAGTCAAATTTTATTATATCCAAATGACAAGTTTAAAAAAAAACTGGTTAAAATTCACTTTCCATGGTTAATCATTACAAGTGCCATGAATTTGCATCCTGTGGCTTTAAAATAAATGAACTTCGATTGGCCATGAAAGCAGATGTGAAGGGAAGATCTCATTGAGATGAACTATTTACTAATGTTATACAACTTTTGGATTCCAAGAGAATTTAGTTTTCAGTGTTGGTGACATGAGACAGAGGCATAGACAGATAAGGCTTTCTGTGGGTAAGAGGGCAGAGTCTTGCTGAACAGTTGATAACCCATGTCTCTTGGGGAAAGCACAGTTGCTTTCTACATTGCAGAAATTCCACAATTATTTCTGAGCACAAGCTACTCCATCATTGTCAGAAAATTACTAATTAGGTCATTTAGAACAAGTGTTCTGTGACCTTGCTTTTCCAATCAATTAATCATAATCCATCCTGCCTTTGTCTTTTTGCTTTTTCCAGCCTATCCCCTCCCACTCTCTATGTTAAACCTCTTTTAAAAGTAAGCTTCTTTCTACTCAAAATCCCTTCTCAACTCTCAAACATAATATCTCCCTCTTCCACAAAATTTTCCCTGATTCCCACACCTAATGCTACAATTCTGTCTTTTTTTTTTAAGATTTATTTATTTATTTATGATTACACTGTCACTGTCTTCAGACACACCAGAAGAGGGCATCCAATCTCATTACAGATGGTTGTGAGCCACCATGTGCTTGCTGGGATTTGAACTCAGGACCCCTGGAAGAGCAGTCAGTGCTCTTAACCGCTGAGCCATCTCTCCAGCCCCTACAATTCTGTCTTGATCTTTTCTTTTATCAAAATTTTTGGGAAAGAAATTTTATGACTTCCAATTTCTCCTTGTTCTGTTTTAGTAAGACCCATCTTTGTCCTGTCTAGCTGAAAATGTTCTCTGGAAGGACACTGGAACTCCAGGATTTCCTCTAATTTCACACAGTTCAGTTTTCTAACATCATCTGACCTTTCATCTGGTCTTTCAACGCCCAGTCTTTGACATTTGTGAGTCATTTTATTTCCTCCGATATGTATGGCTTTCTTCCCTCAACCTCTCTTGCTCCTTTCTTTCTTTCTTTTTTCTTTTTTCTTTCTTTCTTTCTTTCTTTCTTTCCTTTCTTCCTTCTTTCTTTCTTTCTTTCTTTCTTTCTTTCTTTCTTCTTTTTCTCCCTCTCTCTTTCTCCATATGTATCTCTCTTCCTTCTTTCTGCCCCTTCACAACCACTGCTTCCACTCCACCCTAAGCTCTCCATACCCCCACTTCCAGTTACTCTCAGTTAAATTTCCGTGCCTTCCTTGGCTACAGGCTGTTTCTTTCCCGAAAGTATCCAATTCTCCCATGATTTCAACAGTTCTACTCGAGTGGATGCAGCTCAGCATTTCAAACCCAAGCTAGGTTTTTGCTCAGTAGCTACATGTCTTTATCTGGCATCCCTCCAGCACCTCCAACATTCTCCTGCCTCCAGTCCTAGCCACGTTTCAGCATTGCTAACTCCAGAGATCCCACCTGCTCTTTATCTCCCCTCCCATCTGATCCAACCTTGTGGATCCTGTCAGTCCAGAATCGCTCCTTTGATCTTTCCCTGTGGTTCCCACTGCCTCTGCATCTTCTTAGCTCTCCCTCACCTCTGCTTTGATTGGTGCTAAGACCCAGCAACCTTTAGCCTGTAATTTCTAAGTCTTCCCATTGCTCCTACCAACTATTGTCCAAGTAATCTTTCAAACCTATAATTTCAGCATGCCTTTCCCATGACCGTAATACTTCAGTATCCTTGTAGCACACAAGGAATGATGTTAGGACTGGAAAGGCCTTTGCATGAGGTTTGACTACCCACATCTTGAATGAGATAAAGCTCTGAAAATAATATAGAAATTAGTGTGTGTGTGTGTGTGTGTGTGTATGAGTGTGTGTAGCTTTTAGACTACCTAATGATCTTTCCATGTCACTGTTTTGTCTGTAAAAGTCTAATATTTTGTGCATGAGTTTATTCTACATTCTGATAAAGTGAAGAAGAAGAAGAAGAAGAAGAAGAAGAAGAAGAAGAAGAAGAAGA